CCTTCCCCCCCCTCCCTCTCACCACCTGGCTCTCCCTCCTCTCCCCATCTTCTTTCCTTGGGCACAAACTTTGCCCTCCACTGACAAACTAGAAAGCATTTCTGCTCACTTGCACACTGAAACATCTTTGAAACCAAGTGAAATGAATCTCAAAGAGCAAAAGGATATGAAGGGAAGGACTTCGGGCTGGAGGTCAGAGCACCCGAGCTGTTCTTGGGACTTCCCCTACCAACGGGCTCTGTGGCTTTTCCAAGTCACTTCACCTCTTTAAACCAACTTCTTCCTCTATTAACTGAGAGTTGGACTAGAGAGCTCCTCCTGGTTTAAAATTTTCGTGAGTTTATTTTTGGAGAAACTTGAAGCCTCAGTGGAGAGAGACAAAACAGAAAGTGTCATTTGGACTCATCCAATTAAGTCACATTGATCATTTCCCAGCCCCTTTCCCCTGTCTATAAGGCTCCTCTTAAATGTGTGACCACCTTGTAAGACGACAAACGCGTGAAAAGAGAAAGTTTCCGCACGAAACTCAGACCAGCCACACTAACGGTGCCCTAGAAGGACGTCAGGACAACAAAGCACAAAAGTTACGTACAGAATAAGGTCTGAGGATCGAATGCATAACATGGTGACTGGTTGCAATGCCATATTGTGTAACTGAAATTTGTTAAGATAGTAGAACTACAATTATTTTTTTTGTTCTCACCAAAAAGATAATAAGTAAAATATGAAATGATGGATGTGCTAATAAACTCAATTCAGGACATTCTTTCATGATGTATGCTTACATCAACTCACCACATCGCACACTTTGAGTATCTTATGATTTCATTTGCCAATTACACCTCGATAAAGCTTAAAAAAAGTTGACAAGTCAGAGCGCCTACTCCCAAACACAATGTTTTCTATCATCGGCCGTAATTCTTCCTCCTTATCCAGAGTGCTAACAGGCCTTCATTCAAAGGCAGCGTCAGGGAGTTCATCGCTGTCACATATAAAGAGGCTGTTCTCCGAGTCCACACTTCCCTCTTTTGCTGACTTTCCCCTCGCACCCTCTCTTGCAGGTGGCACTCTCTCCATCTTTTTTTTTTCCACCCTCTCGCAGCCGTGTCCCTGACTTCCCAGCTCCCCTACCCCGGACCAGCTCAGCCCAGAGGGGCTGTTCTTTCTGAACTCCCTGGACCATGTTCAGAGTTCCTCGAAAGAGGGGTACAGAGGCGCAGTGAAGTCAGAGCAAACGCTCACTCTTCCTGGTCGGCAGTGAATGGTGTCTGGGACTCGAGTGGCCCGCTGGCCAAGGGACGGGGAGAAGAGAGAATGGTGCGACTCTTCTGGAAAGCACATCAATAATGTAAGTGAAGATCCTTTAAAACATTTCTAGTTTATGACCTATTATTAATTTTCTTATCCTAAAGCAATCAGAAGAGATTCGGACAAAGCGACCCAGAGAGAGGAAAGCCTGGCCTGAGTTCCGGTGTCTGTGGCTCTAAGTAACAGAGGGGCTTAATAATGAGCACACGCACAGAGAAATCCAGAGGTACAATGGCCTTTAGGCCTGGTACATTAGGCAGCTCAGAAACATGGTCTAAAGTAAGCAGAGGTTCTTCCCATCTCTCTGCTCTTCCTGCTCCAATATTGACATTGGTAGAGCTCTGGGTTTGGCTCCCCTAGTGGCCAACAGCACCAGACAGCAGTTACCAGCATTCTCAGTCATGTCCGAATGGAGATGGAGAAAGGCTGATTTCACAAGGCTCTTCCTGAAAAGTAAGAAAAGCCCTGGTCCGGTGGCTCAGTTGTTTGGAGCTTCATCCCATACACCAAAAGGTTGTGGGTTTGATTTCTGGTCAGGGCACAAGCTATGTTGTGGGTTCCATCCTTGGTCGGGGCACATATGGGAGGCAACCCATCGATGTTTCTCTCCTCTCTTTCTAAAATCAATAAACACATCTTCAGGTGAGGATTTTTTTTTAATTAAGAAAGGATATTTCCAGAAGCTTTCAGCAAATCTCTCAGTGGCCAGAATTGGGTCACATGCTAATTCAAAACCAGTCACTAGCTGGGAAGCAAAGGATGGTGGTAGAGAAGCTAGTTGCCCTTGAACCAACAGCCCTACCCCTTCCCACGAGACCAAGTCCCAAGTGCACTGCTTCAGTTCAGCAGGGAGGGGGGCAACAAGGAGGCAATGCCCTACGCACTCCGAAAATCTGTTGGTAACATCCCTCTGGTTCTGCCGATGGAAGTAGCTGAACTAAAACAACTTTGACCATGATCTAGGGAGAGAGAGAAGGAACTGATGAAGTCTTCATTTTTAAAGAGGCTGTGATTTGGGTCTATTCTAAAACACAACCATTTTGGGTGCCTGCTCACGTCTAAGAAATTTTCGACAGTTGAACATTTCCAACATGTTTTCCAATCCCCACATACAATCACAGCCCACCTTGCTGTTCTTTGCTAAATAAACATTTTTTGCTCAGTTGTCTTGCTCTCCTTAATCACGTGCAATTTTAAACTAGTTATTACTGACACTCCTTTCCTCCCATTTACTGGCAATGTTCTTAGGTCAATCCCACAACCAATTAGGGGAACTCAGAAAAAGAAAATCCTACAGCGAAATGCCAAATGCCGGACAACTTTAGTTTAGTAAGTAATCCTGGAAGATGGCAACTTGGCAAAGAGCGCACTTAACCCTCTCTCCCTGGAAGGCCCATCACTTGGGGCCACATCAGATTAGTGGTCTGAAATCCCAGCACTAGTAGGTTAAAGACACACACACACACACACACACACACACACACACACAGAGGAGGGACTGTATCTCCAGTATCAAAGGTGTAGATTTTCGTTCCCTGTTTCCCATTCCTTCTCCTCCCAAAACGTTGGGGACTATTTCGGCACACGTTAGGAACCAGCAGTGAGGTGGGCAAGCTCCTGGCAGCCGTCTGAACACCCCTCCCCCATTATCCTTCTTTTCACCGGAACAACTGGGAAACCGCGGCTCAGGGGAAGGCCTGTGTGTTTAACTCCTGTAATTCTGTCAGCTTTTTCTGACAAGAAAACTTTCCTGCCGCCATATAGGTCACCTTCCTATGTGTAAAGAGTGGAGAAGGTTAAAATGTTTCTCTTCGTTTTGTTGAAAGAGTTAAGTTCCAGGAAAACTCCAGGGGGACTCCTACAGACACTTAGTCCAAACTTGGCTGTCCTGAGGGCTGAGGCAAAGGAGATGATCTTTTTACAAACAAAGTGTGCCCTGTGCTTGCGGACCTCCTGTGGGCCTCCAGCCCTCGGCTGACCTGTGTAAAACTAGCAAGTGGAGAAGAGGCAGGGGCCCCAAGCTGGCCATTCCTCAGAGAACTGTTCCTAACAAGTACCTAGCGTCATGATAAATTAGTAGCAAGTGACCAAAAAAATCACTCCTCGAGGATTAAATAGGACACTCGGGAAGGAAATTGGACAAGGGGAAGGTGTATGGCTGCTGACTGTGGAATCTTCAGATCTGTTTGGATGAGTCACTGCCCATGACTTCCACCACAGGAATCCGATTTGACTAATCATCTGATAGAGACTTTTATTTCTATCTTTCGACATGAGAAATCTCTCTGACTTTAGGGTTTAGTTATTAAGCAACAAACAAATGTGTATCTTAGGAACATAGTTGTCATCTTCTAGAGGTACTGGATGCATACTAACTGGAAAACACTCACTCCGTAATCCACACACATAGCACTCCCACACAATAAAAGTGAAATTGCTGTTTGATGAATGCAAACTCGTGGGTGTTTCCAGCAATTCGGAGTCCTGCCAGGTGTGAGTGCTGAGGAGGGAGGTGAACCCCAGGGCTTTCCCAGTCTGTGCTCAGATCCTTATTTGATGAAGCCACTACCTGTGCCCTGTGTCTAGGGCCAGGGGACCACAGCAGGGGAAGTGGGGCTGCTGGTCATCCCGGCCCAAAAAGATGAATGGAATTCCAGGCAGCTGGAGTCATGCTGGCTTGGGACAGTGGCTTGGAGACCAGACTCCCAATGACAGAAGCGTTAAGTGGTAGCGCTCATGGCAACTGGTGCACCCACAGAAATGTGACCCACACCTCGTTTTCAGGAGCCGAAAAATGAAAAGAACGTTTAGGGAGGAAAAAAGGAAATAATAGGCAGAGGGTAATTTATTACTCTGAGTCTGTTCTGTAAATAGTTTAAGACCCTGGAGCCAGACGGTTCTGCAAATCCTCCAACCAGGAGTCACGTTAAGAAGCACGAGTGGGCACAAAAACTGTTTTTCAATACACAATTTCAATTTTGGCTTGAGGAAACTGGATAGGAGCAAGTTTCCTTAACATTCCTGACTAGAAAGAAATTGTCCTCTCAGGTCCCCTTGATGACAATACGCATACCGCCCCCAAGCGGCAAGTCGTGGAAGCGCAGAGAAGCGACTTGCACGAGGACTTGGACTGCGGTCACTGCAGAAAGTGTATCCCCGACGGGCAGCGAGAGCGCGAGCTCTCTACACCTCTCTACACCGACCTGCCAGCCGGTGCGACACCGCGCTCGCCTGCTCTAGGAGGTCAGGCAGAGGGCGTGCGAGGGCAGGGGCGCGGCTTCGCGAAGCCCGGCGCGTGGCCCCCCACCCCACGGCATGGGCGGATGAGGGGCCATCGTCCAGCCACGCGAAGAGGCAGATTTGTCTGAAAGCGCCCTAATGGCCTTAGGTGGGTGACCGTCGCTGGTCGAGATGCTCACCCTGAACACCTCGTGCCTTCGTGGCGCAAGAGCGAAAGTGCTGAGCCCGCGCGCGCCAAGGCCGCGTGGGCGGGCACCTCTTCTGAGAAGTTCCAGCTCTTCGAACCCGACCCCTACCTCCCCCTTCACTTTCTAGCTGGAAAGTAGTGCGCCGAGCGGCAGGGGGCGGAGAGAGGAACCCAGACTGGCCCCCCTCCCGCTTCCTGCCCGGCCGCCTCCCATTGGCCAGACGAATGCCCAGGAATGTCAGCGCCGCTTTAAAAGTGCGTGGCTCCGCCGCCTCGCCAGCCAGTGCAGCCGAGCCGGCGGTGCCTCCCGACTGCTGCGAGCTCACCCTGCGCGCCCTCCGACTCCGGCGCCTTCTCGGCGCACCGCGCTCCCCAGACTCCGCGCTCGTCGCTGCTTCCTCGCCGCCACTCCGGGCCTCTGCGCCCGTGTACACACAGGTAAGGGGTCCACGGGCGGCCGCAGAGGACCAACGCTGCCCTGGTCATCGGCCTCAGGCAACGAGGCTCCAGCCCCTCAGGGACCTGGGACCCCATCTTGTCCGCCCCAGCTGCTGGGGGTGGGGGGGCGCATTCTCCTGGTGGAAGAGCTCCAGAACCCTCTTCTCCAGCCTTGGGGTTCACAAACCACTTCTCAGGACACCCCAAGATTTTTTTCTAAACACTAAGTCCCCCTAAATCTTTCTGTCAGTCCTCTAGAGAAGAGCCCACTTCCCCATAGCCTCCTGGTCCTGCTGTTTACCCTCAACTTCCCAAGGAAAACCCCCAGATGGTTGGTTTTTAAGCTCCACTTTAAAACCAGTCTCCTGCCTCCAACTCTCACTTTCTTCCCGATGCCTTGATATAAAGTGAATTCTGTTTTCCCTCACTCCAGCAGAGGTGGGGCAGGGGGGTCCCCAGGGACCTGGCCCCATGCCTGGCCCCCAGTCGTTGCCACTCTCCTTGCTTTGCCACCTCTGACCTTGGGCTCTGCTTCCTGCTGTAGGCTCCCTGCTGGGCGCAGACAGCTCCGCCATGGGACTGGCCTGGGGACTTAGGGTCCTGTTCCTGTTGCCTCTGTGTGGCTGCAACCGCATTTCAGGTGAGTCCCTATAATGCCTTTGAGGGGGGAGGGAAGATGAGGAGGTGCTGGGTACGCCAGGTGTGCCTCCCTCCCGGCTGTTTATCCCTGAGCCTTGACTGGACCCCTGAGAGCTGAGTCTCCCCACCCTGGGCCCCTAGGAAGCTCACACTGTCCTGCTTCTGTCTCACAGAGGCTGGGGGAGACAACGGCGTGTTTGACATCTTTGAACTCACGGGAGCTGCCCGCAAGGGCTCTGGGCGCCGACTGGTGAAGGGTCCTGACCCTTCCAGCCCAGCCTTCCGCATCGAGGATGCCAACCTGATCCCCCCTGTGCCTGATGACAAGTTCCAAGACCTGGTGGATGCTGTGCGGGCAGAGAAAGGTTTCCTCCTCCTGGCCTCCCTGAGACAGATGAAGAAGACCCGAGGCACACTGCTGGCAGTGGAGCGGAAAGACCACTCTGGCCAGGTCTTCAGTGTGGTCTCCAATGGCAAAGCCGGCACCCTGGACCTGAGCCTGACCATGCAGGGAAAGCAGCACGTGGTGTCGGTGGAAGAGGCGCACCTGGCCACCGGCCAGTGGAAGACCATCACGCTGTTCATGCAGGAGGACAGGGCCCAGCTGTACATCGACTGTGAGAAGATGGAGAATGCTGAGCTGGACATCCCCATCCAAAGCATCTTCACCCGGGACCTGGCCAGTGTCGCCAGGCTCCGCATCGCAAAAGGAGGTGTCAATGACAATTTCCAGGTGAGGCCTCTTTGTGGGATGGAGTGCAAGCCAGTTGATCTGTCAGGAGGGCTGTAGAAGAGAGACAGTGTTCCCGTCTGGGAAATACTGCCTGTGGACTGCAGCGGTGGTTCTTGAACTCCAGGGAGCATCAGATTCACCCGGAAGCTTTGTTAAAACAGCCAACCCCGTTCAGATTCAGTCGGTCTGACCTAATTTCAGTAGGTCTGAAATTATTCAGAGCCTGATAATTTGTGTTTCTAACAAAGTCCTCATGAGGCTGATGTTGGGGGTGGGTATTCTGGGGACCTCACTCTGAAACCCACAGAAGGAAACCAACAGTTTTCCAGTAAGTGCCTGCTCAAGCCTTAGGTCCTTTACTGTCCTCAAGAAAATAACATTTCAGATGCATCCAACCAACTGTAATATTGCTTGAAATATTAATATCAGACACTTGGTTCAAGTGGAGTAAGTACCACTTTGCTATTTGATCCCCCGTGAGGATGTAGTGGGTTTCAGACAAGGTTAAAACAGTGGCCCATGTGCTGCTGCAGCTTCTTCCTTGTGTAAACGTCTAGGTCTCTGCAACTGTGGCTTTGAAACTCCCACATTTAACTCTTGGACACTGAAGAGTGTCACTGTATCCCCGGCGTAATATCAGATTCCACTTCCTGTGTACCCAAGCAGGCTGATAACTCAGTTCTTTGCAAAATACTGAAGACTTGGCAGAAGACACAATTAAGATTTTGAAGTTGTCTGGCAGTTTATGTTGGTGTGTTATTTTGACACGGTGACCTTAAAAGGGACCTCTTTCAGACTTTTAGAACATGGATTGTGTGCTTATCCTAACAGAAAGTTTCCCCTCCCATGTTCCTCCCTCCCCCCACACACACACACACTCTGCACGTAATGCTTGTTTTCTGCCCACAGGGGGTGCTGCAGAATGTGAGGTTTGTCTTCGGAACCACACCAGAAGACATCCTCAGGAACAGAGGCTGCTCCAGCTGTGAGTGCCCTTCTGTTTTCGGGGTGCATGGGGAAATTGGGGAGACTCCACCCAACACAAGCCAAGAAATTTTAAGCATTGTTGGTTGTATATAAATTACCCTGGGTAACATAGATAAGAGGTACATAAAAGTGACTTTAAAGGCTGTTCCACACACACAGGTCCACCCCTCACCCGGACGAAATGTCTTTTACAACTAGGAACACTGGGGGCTGGTGGGGAGAGTATCTCCGTTACTGTTCCCATCGTGCGTTTCTCGGTTTCTCGGCAGCCACCAACGTCCTCCTCACCCTTGACAACAACGTGGTGAATGGCTCCAGCCCTGCCATCCGCACTAACTACATCGGCCATAAGACAAAGGACCTGCAGACCATCTGCGGCATCTCTTGCGATGAGCTGTCCAGCATGGTCCTGGAGCTCAGGGGCCTGCGCACCATCGTGACCACGCTTCAGGACAGCATCCGCAAAGTGGTCAGTGGCCTCCACTCCCAGCCCTTTGGCAGGAGCCCCTGGAGCTTTAGTGTGATCCCGGTGGACCGAAAACGGGGGTGGACACTGATGAGCTTTCTCCCCCTTCAGACCGAAGAGAACAAAGAGTTGGCCAACGAGCTGAGGCGGCCCCCGCTCTGCTACCACAACGGAGTCCAGTACAGGAACCACGAGGAGTGGACCGTCGACAGCTGCACGGAGTGCCGCTGCCAGGTGAGGGTCTTTCCCAGCCCGAACGCAAACCGATAGCAGGCGTCTGCTGCCGCGGTCTCTGGGGAAATGCCCAGAGACCACAGTTGGCCACACAAGCTCTTTCTATGTTTTATGGCCTGATACCAGTGTGTGTGTATATGTGTTTGTAAGATGTAATTATGACATTTACAAAATCTATTTAAACTCACAAAGTTTTCCAAAGTCTTAATTATATCCCAGGCTAAGTATCAAAAAGAACAAATCTAAGACAGCTGAATAACTTGCCAGCTTCATTTCAAAGACCCAGTGTTGAATGTCAGGTACACAACACCTGGTTGGAGCTTGCCCCCAGCCCTGATTCGTATGCAGCTGTGACAAGGAGGTTCTTTTAACGCAGTGCTGGCTGTTGAGGTGACAACCTGACATTGTCGGGACAGCTGTCTGCTGGGCTCAGGTGACAGGTCCTGCCGTGTGTGCCACTCCAGCTTTCCCCAGGGCCAGTTGTAGGTGAGCCTGGGAGTTTATCTGGCTCATTAAGCAAAGTCAGGCTTAAATACAAGTCATGGATCGCTGGATTTTTGGAGCCACCTTTACTAAATTGCCAGTCCAGGTCTGTACAGGAGGGAAAAAATATGCTCATTTGAGCTTCTTTTCCCCCTAGAATAATTTTAAATTTAAAAGTACCAGCAGAGTTTTGAGTTCCATTAATCTGCACCTGAAATTGATTTGACCCATGGCATTTGGTGACTCCCGCCGGTGACTAGGTAGAGCGCCCCACGGGACGGAGTGATGAGCGGCCAACCCCTGGACTGTGTCTGCGATACAGGCGGACGCAGGGAAGACAGGCCTGGAGGGCATTGGTAGCTGTGACCATTTGTCTTATAACTGAAATGTTAAATAGTATGTCAACTTCTGTTTGCAATGTTTGGTGACCCATTTCCTCTTCCCTCTTGCCCTGCAGAACTCAGTTACCATCTGCAAAAAGGTGTCCTGCCCCATCATGCCCTGCTCCAACGCCACAGTCCCTGATGGAGAGTGCTGCCCCCGGTGTTGGCGTAAGTCCCCCGAACCACGCAGCCCCCGCAGCCCCTGGTCACTGCCGCGCATGCACACTGGAGAGCACAGCACAGCGCTGGAGCCCCACTGCCACGCCCATGTGCTTCAGTTCCATTTTTTGCTGCAGCATCTGGTGAACTGCTGGCGTGTTTGCTGTATAAAGCCAACAACCCCATTATGACTAAATCTTAATTGCCCCTCTGGGTGATGGCAGAGGCAGCAGTAATCTGGTACAGCTCCCAGATCCTGACTGTGTGCCTTGAAGAGGAGACAGAATTTGCTGCAGCAATAACTCTTGAGTTACCTGCTTCTAGAATTTGACTTTACGGCTTAGAGTTAAAAAAAGAAATCTGCTCACCAGGAAAACTGATGGGCTGTAGTCTGAGCATTGGACTTAGTGGGACCTAGAGTTTCCACCCAGTGCACCTGCAGGAGCTGGAGACTAAAGGGGTGGTGGTCCGAGTTTCAGGGCACCAGTGGAAATAAGGCACCGTGCGGCCCCCTGGCCTCCTGTCCCTGCTTTCGTTGCCCGTGAATGAACCACTCACTGTGCTGGGACGGTGCTGAATGACGGCAGGTGCGAGTCTAAAAATGACACAGCGCAGCTGAAGCAGGAAGTGACATGGGAAAGCAGCACGCGCCCTGCGCACACGCCTGTCCCTGCACACACCAGGCACAGCCCAGAGTGGCCGGTCCCCACCAGGGGTCACAGTTGGGATGGCGGCACCGGGGCAGTCACGTGTTTATCTAGTTCTGCACTGTAACAGTGCATACCTGTTTATCTGGTATGCACTTCAGCCATGGGTTAGAACACAGCTAGCTGGGGACCACGGGAGTTTTGAGCTTGAATCAGGGATTGCCAGGAAAACTTCCAACTGGCGGCAGGAGGACACAAGTTCTCCATCTTGTGTCCGCGGCCATTGGGTGTGAGCGTAGTCCTGGCACCTGGGCAGGTGACAGACACACACGTTCTCCTGTGAAATACGTGCAGAGAAGGCCCTACATGCTTGGCAAGAGGGGCGACACGCTGATTAGCCCCATGACCGAGCTGGAGCCGAGAGCCAGCAGCTGCTGAGCAGCCTGGAAGCTCACCTGCCAAACACATGGCCTCTGGCTCCTCTAAAAATCAGAAGTGGCTCCTACCCGCTTCCTAAAACTCTGGTGTTCTTGGAAGGCTGGGACTGGACATGCCTACCAAGAGATCTCAAGTCAGTAAAGGGAAACGCACTTGAAATGCTGAGAGGGGAGAAAGGAAGCAGCGATAAATAGCACACGTGCTGGGCAGGGCTGAGCTGTGCCGCCTGGGCGAAGCATTCGGTTACCCCCTGCAGTGCCCGTCCTGACCTGGGGTAAACCCCTTGGCTGTTGGCCTAAGAAATCTCTTGCTCTTCACCCTTTGGCAAGGGAGGAAAGCCCCGAACAGAGCACTCTAACGAATCAGCCGTAATGACCGCACGTTAATGAGCCCGTTTCCTCTGCAGCCAGCGACTCCGCGGACGATGGCTGGTCCCCCTGGTCCGAGTGGACCTCCTGCTCCGCAACGTGCGGCAACGGGATCCAGCAGCGCGGCCGCTCCTGCGACAGCCTCAACAGCCGATGCGAGGGCTCCTCCGTCCAGACACGCACCTGCCACATTCAGGAGTGTGATAAGAGATGTAAGCATCTTGGCCCCTCAGGGACGTGGAGAACTGGCCTTCGCTTGCCATCACCTAGAGCAGCCCCAGAGCGCAGGTTCTAGACTCTCTGGATCTGGAGCCTGGTGCTGCCCACTCTCGAGCACCACTCGCCCTCTCAGGCTCCGAGTCTGCGCTCCGGGGCCAATGAGAGTCCTCGACAGGGTTGTTTGAGGAGTCTGGTTAGATACTGCATTTAAAGCAGTTAACACAGAGGTTGGCTCACAGTAAGCACCCGATAACCATCAGCTCTGAACTTCAGTCAAACAGGATGGCGGCTGGAGCCACTGGTCCCCGTGGTCGTCTTGTTCTGTGACGTGCGGCGAGGGCGTGATCACAAGGATCCGGCTCTGCAACTCCCCGAGCCCCCAGATGGACGGGAAACCGTGCGAAGGCGAAGCTCGGGAGACCAGGGCCTGCCAGAGGGACGCCTGCCCTGGTGAGTGAGCACGCGGCCGGCCGGGGGCCGGGCCCCGAGCCCCAGCGGCAGCTCTGCCCCGCTGCTCGCCCGGCATCTGACCTGTCTGCTCAGTGCCCCGTGGAGGGGAAAGGTTACTTTCTAGAGAAACAAAGTCCTACAGACTCAGCAGCTTCTTTTAATGAAAAACAGAAGGAAAGCCATTTCAAACTCTCCCTCTTCCCAAACGTTCTTCATGTGTCAGGGTAGCAGTGTTTTCGTGAACAAACTTAGAGTCATCTGTGACAGGTCAGGTGTTTGAAATGGACTTAACTTCTGCATGTGCTTTGCTTTCTTCTAGTCAATGGAGGCTGGGGTCCCTGGTCACCGTGGGACATCTGTTCCGTCACCTGTGGAGGAGGGGTACAGAAACGTAGTCGGCTCTGCAACAACCCCACCCCCCAGTTTGGAGGCAAGGACTGCGTTGGTGAAGTGGTGGAAAACCAGGTCTGCAACACCCAGGACTGTCCAATCGGTGAGCCACGCAGCCTGGGACAAAACCAGCCTGGGGTTCCACTAACCGAACACCAGGGTCACCCTCTGGCTGTGAGTAGTGCTGGGCAGTTTGATTGCTCTGAAATGCCAGACAGACAGCACAATCTCCAGTTAGCAGTTACACAGTCCCGACAGCAGCTTCTGCTGTGTCGTGTCCTCACGGACCAGCATGGCAGGTAACAGCAGCCAGACCAACTGTTTCCCTGTTTGTCCCGCCTCAGATGGGTGCCTGTCCAATCCCTGCTTTGCCGGCACCAAGTGTACGAGCTACCCCGATGGCAGCTGGAAATGTGGAGCTTGTCCCCCTGGCTACAGCGGAAACGGCGTCCACTGCAAAGATGTTGACGAGGTGAGAAGCTGACTGCCCGCAGTTCCCACTCTGGGGAAGCAGCTGACCTGCGCCCTCGTTCCCTGGGGCAGTGTTTGCACACGGTGAGCAAACTGCTTTTCCTTCCGTAGTGCAAACTCGTGCCTGACGCCTGCTTCAGCCACAACGGAGAGCACAGGTGTGAGAACACAGACCCTGGCTACAACTGCCTGCCCTGCCCGCCACGCTTCACGGGCCCGCAGCCCTTCGGCCGGGGCGTGGAGCACGCCATGGCCCACAAACAGGTGCGTGTGGGCCAGCCTGGTGGGCCGCATAGAGCGGGGCATCTCTGACTGAAACACTAGGATGGGGAGGAATGTCATTTCATCCTCTTCACAAACACAAAAAAAAGGGAGGGGCGAACACCCAATCCAGCTTTTAGAATCATGACTAGAAAATCCATGGTAAATCCAGCAGTGGAAGAACAGTCCATCACATTTGAAAATGCTGCTCTCGAATGAGCTGTGAGCCGATGGAGCTGTAAATCCAGGGCAGGAAAGACATGAAGCAGTGTTAGCCTGGAAGCCAGCCACTGCAGGGGAGCATGGGAAGGACGGAGGCAGACCACACTCTTCCCCGTGGAAACTCTGTCCCGGCACGATAGGGATCTGGGTTCTTCTTGCTTCCATGGTACCTGGAGACGCGTGAAGGCTTCACGCTCACATCAGGATGTGGTCCCCGCAGGTGTGCAAGCCCCGCAACCCGTGCACAGACGGGACACATGACTGCAACAAAAACGCCAAGTGCAACTACCTGGGCCATTACAGCGACCCCATGTACCGCTGCGAGTGCAAGCCCGGCTACGCCGGCAACGGCGTCATCTGCGAGGAGGACACCGACATGGATGGCTGGCCCAACGAGGACCTGGTGTGCGTGGCCAATGCCACCTACCACTGCAAAAAGGTAAAAGCCGCTCCCTCATGAGCAGAGAAAAGGCACGTCAAAAGAGCAGGCTGAGGAATTTTAAATGGCTCAAGCTTGAAAATGAAACCAAAAGGTTGGGTCACCCAGAGTCAGAGTGGCACTAATTCTCAGTAGTGGGGAAGCTCTCGATGCAAACATGGCTGCCTCGTGGCACTTGTGTTCCATAGTCTGTCATCTTGTCCCTGCAGAAATGTTCATTTCCCCGCTAAGTATCAGCAGATGATAAGGCTTGTGTTTCCAGCACTTATAAGGCCTAGAGCATCTACACAGATTTTATATGTGGCCCTATATATCCCCCAAGAAAACGTTTTAATTTTTTTGTCTTCCCGTAAAAAATGTGTTGCTATGGAGGAGCAGTCAGTGTCCCCGTGCACAGGCGGAGCAGGGGACGTGCGGACGGCAGCTGCAGTGTGTGTCTTCTCTCCCCAGGACAACTGCCCCAACCTGCCCAACTCCGGGCAGGAGGACTACGACAAGGATGGGATCGGCGATGCCTGTGACGATGACGATGACAACGACAAAATTCCAGATGAAAGGGTAAAAACACCTTTTTCCTTTCCTCTCACCTTTGCTGTTCACTAACAGCCTGAAACCCTGTAAGGGCACAATCAGAAATTAGTGTTTCAGGAAGTTGAGGACGCAGATGTTGCCGAGAGAACTTTTAAAGGAGGGCTTTATTTTTCATTTTCATCACAACATTCCCCCCCTCATCTGAGCGAGAGATTCCACCTATAAACAAGTGACTTTGCCCCCGACTCATTTCAAATGCCTGATCTAAATGACAATAAAATTTACGTTGGGCACAGTGAGAACTGAGATGAGCTTATGTTTACATCTCACTGACTTACAACCAACAGGACATTCCACAAACAAATGACCCTGTGCTCCCCACATTCACTATGTCCTGGCCTTTGACTTGTGCAGTAATCAGCGTACACTGAGTGCCCAACTAGCCCAGCCGCTGGGCGGGGAGCCCCTGCGGCAGCTCTGCATGCACTGTGCACGTGGCCTGGAGCCGGAGCCGGTGCACAGTGTGCTGAAACGGTCCCTTTCTTCTCTTCCCAGGACAACTGTCCGTTCCATTACAACCCAGCGCAGTACGACTACGACAGAGATGACGTGGGCGACCGCTGCGACAACTGCCCCTACAACCACAACCCAGACCAGGCCGACACGGACGGCAACGGGGAGGGGGACGCCTGCGCCGCGGACATCGACGGGGATGGTGAGGCCCTCCCCGACGCCGGCAGGCCCGGAGGCCGCGGTGACCGCGCTCAGCTTTCGAGCGATTTTTTTCCAGGCCTGGCCGTTAAGTGTGTGGTTCGGTTGAAACAACAGGCTGCAGATTTCAGTTCACACTGTGACCGCTGTTCTCTGCAGGTATTCTCAATGAACGAGACAACTGCCAGTATGTCTACAATGTGGACCAGAGGGACACCGACATGGATGGGGTCGGCGATCAGTGTGACAACTGCCCTCTGGAACATAATCCAGATCAGGTAGGCGGACTCCTTCCACACCCTTCCAGGCCTCTAACGCACCAAGTGCAGGCACCCCTGTCGCCGTGGCCCTCCGTGGCCTCGTAGCCCACTGCCGTATTGCTGTGTGAACAGTTTGCCGGTGCGGCCTCCTGGCAGAGCCCCGTAGAGCTCAGCGTGACGGTGTTGTCCAATTCAACTTGTCTGTGCCGGAAGGTCCGCATGGCTTGTTCGGCATGATGCCCCGTTAAGATAACTTTATACAAAACAGAAATCTGTAACTGACAACTCTAGTAAACCATATTTAAGACTGAGAGAGGAAAGAAAATATCCTTAAGGGAAATAACCATTTGCTTGGCTAATGATGTAATCTGGCTGAGAGAAAATCATCAAACTCAAAATACTCCCCTAAACTGGAGAAGTCCCTGTCATTCATTCGTCACAAGTGTTTGCAAAGCAGCACCATTCCCACCTGTGCTGGGGCAGGTGCTACAAGTAGACGTCAGCCGGGACAGCGTCCACGTCCGAAAGTGTTCCCTTTCTTCTGCAGTTGCCCATCATTATTTCCAAGGGGGCAAGTGTTAAGGAATTTTTTTCTAAAATGCATTGTTCTGAAAATTTAGGAATCAGCTTTTCAAAAATGGGAATATTTTTATAAGATTCAAGACACGAGAAAGCTGTCTTTTTCCCCCAGCATTTGCTCTTAGGAGGCGCTGTAAAACACAAGGCAGGAGGGTACGGAGTGCCCGGGCCTTAAAGGGAAAGTGTGAAGGGTCCAGGTTGGCTCTGCTGGCCCCAGGGCACTGGAGGCCATATTTTGAGATTGGGTCTCACCATAAATTAAACTTTTCCACTACCATTTAACCTCCCTGGGTGATTTTTTTGGTTCCTCAGACTGTGATCAACCCTGTAACAAAATTTAGGCATCATGTAAAAACCTTACTAGCAAAGGGCATAAATACTGGCCAGAAAAATCTCACTTGTATATAAATAACTTTTAAGCGTCCCATGCACGCTGGGTGATGTAAAAGGACTCTGAGAAATACAGCCTCAGAAACCCTCAGAGTTCTGACTTTAGCTGAGCCAATAGATGGCAATCTTTATGGACCAGTCAAATAAAACCAAACACCTAAAACTAACTCACTGATCCCCACCATCTGAATTGCCCAGAGAGCACAAAAAGCAGGGCCGTGTTTCCGTGACATAATGGCCTAGGGTAGAAGTTGACATGTCAACAAGTTTACAATTGAAACCCTTCAACTGGAAAATAACAAAATGTACCCAAAGAATTTAACTTCACATTAAGCTAGATGCAGTTAACAGTGTCCTTCACCCTTTGTGATTAAGTAATGCTTACTACTTCATTTTATTTAGAATGTGTTATATTTTCAAAAGCTCAAATATCACTTTTCAAATTGTCATATGAAAACAAGGACCAAGAAAATACATAAAACTTGTTAATATCACTGTCCCGTGGCGGTAGCGTGTGGACATAAGACTCACTGGCCAACTCAAACGTCGGGTGTAGGGCTCTCCCGAGTTAGAACTGACATTAGGAAGTTGCACCTCAGTTCACCTCCGTCTCTCTCCCCCAGCTGGACTCCGACTCAGATCGCATCGGAGACACCTGCGACAACAACCAAGATATCGATGAGGACGGCCACCAGAACAACCTGGACAACTGTCCCTATGTGCCCAATGCCAACCAGGCCGACCATGACAAAGATGGCAAGGGAGATGCCTGTGACCACGACGATGACAACGACGGCATTCCCGATGACAGGGACAACTGCAGACTTGTGCCCAACCCTGACCAGAAGGACTCCGATGGTGAGTTGGGAGAACCCCTTTTTAGGAGAGTGACTGAATCGGTGGCTCTCCAGATTGAGGGACAATAACAGAGCTGAATGCATTCGGGAGGGTGAAAAGCCCAGATGCCAACCTGGACAAGATTGTGAGTTTCTGACACCAGCGATAGTAGCATTTCAGGATGTCACTGAATTCTCACCTTTTTCCCTTAGGTGACGGTCGAGGTGATGCTTGCAAAGATGATTTTGACCATGACAATGTGCCAGACATCGACGACATCTGTCCTGAAAATGTTGACATCAGTGAGACTGACTTCCGCCGATTCCAGATGATTCCTCTGGACCCCAAAGGGACATCCCAAAATGACCCTAACTGGGTGGTCCGCCATCAGGGTAAAGAACTCGTCCAGACCGTCAACTGTGACCCTGGACTTGCTGTAGGTGAGTAGTGAGTTCTTTGAACAGAAGGCTAATTCGTATGTGGGAAAGCAGCAAGTAAAAAACCTGGCTGCTGTGTGCATCCCTGTGGGGACTAAGGACGTCTGGGAATGTCAGGGAGAACCTTTTGAAAGCAGCAGCTTTTAATTTGGGTCTGGCTTCATCTTCAAGGTTATGATGAGTTTAATGCCGTGGACTTCAGTGGCACCTTCTTCATCAACACCGAAAGGGATGACGACTACGCCGGGTTTGTGTTTGGCTACCAGTCCAGCAGCCGTTTCTATGTCGTGATGTGGAAGCAGATCACCCAGTCCTACTGGGACACCAACCCCACACGGGCTCAGGGATACTCAGGCCTTTCTGTGAAAGTCGTGAACTCCACCACGGGGCCCGGCGAACACCTGCGGAATGCCCTGTGGCACACAGGAAACACCCCTGGCCAGGTAGGAACCACACCTGCAGAGGAAGCGAGGGCACAGGCCCCCCACGAGCCCTAGGGACACTGTGTTTTGGCCAGGACGCAGAGGGAGTCGGGGGTACCATGTTCCCAGCAGCACCAGCTGCGGCACTGAGCTCTGCTCTGTGAAACCACAGTCGTGAGAGGAGAGCACCATAACTGGAGCTGCCCTTCAAATCCAAAGGCAGTTTCGGCCTCTTCAAACAAAAAGGCTCCCTCGCCCCTCTCTCTCTACTTTTTGTGTGCTTTCAAAGGCACACATCAAAGGAAGGAGGGAGGCCTTAGAAAAAAACCCTGCATTTCAGCCCATAACCTCAGTCACCTTGGCACCTTTCAAGCTGTTCCTGCTAGAGTGAAACCTAAGTGTAATCGTCATGGAGCTGTGTCTCACCCTGTTCCTTTTCCTTCAGGTGCGCACTCTGTGGCACGACCCTCGGCACATAGGCTGGAAAGATTTCACCGCCTACAGGTGGCGTCTCAGCCACAGGCCGAAGACTGGCTTCATTCGGTAAGGATGCAGCGACTGGAGTTCACTCACGGTCACACCAGTGGGCGAGAAGGAAGGGACTGAAACAGGGACTAACGAGGTTCTTCCTTCCTGCAGGGTGGTGATGTACGAAGGGAAGAAAATCATGGCAGACTCAGGACCCATCTATGACAAAACCTACGCCGGCGGCAGGCTAGGGCTGTTTGTCTTCTCTCAAGAAATGGTGTTCTTCTCTGACCTGAAGTACGAGTGCAGAGGTAGGAGCAACATCTCGGTGAACGTGCCGCTGTCTCGGATTCAGACCAGTATCAGGAACGGCAGTTACGGGAGAGGCTGATTTAAAGAGCATGTTACAACGTTGTCTGTATTTTGCCATTGAAGACACAATGATAAAAACAAAATTAGGCCTATCAACTGTGGCTCATGGAATCCTGAGTCTTGTTAACAATGTTAATTTACTTAGCAGTCTGTGTTCTTCATGCACAGTGCAAAGTAAACCGCAGACAAGCTCCTGTCCAGTTCAGACCACATTAATACTACTTACAATTTGACATGTCTCTGCACTTTACTCCTCGTGGTTTTATTTATGCCACAGCAGCACAGGTTGCTCTTCAAACCTTTCCCTATTGTACATGGAGGGGAAAGGAGTATTGCCTTCATGTTGGTCCTTAATGTTCACTGCCAAGCTTAGCTGTTTGTTCTCCATTCCTGTTCACTCAGTGGTCACTGAGTCTCAGCACTGGGCCTACCAAAAAAAATGTGCTAGAAATGTTTACTGGGACAAGGCCTGATGCCAACAACATCAACTGGAGTAAAAAAAAAGAAAAGTTAATTTCACTCAAAATACTTACAAATTCAGACTCTAAGATTGTATCACAGAAACATAAAACACCCTAAACTTTACACACTGGGGCCTCGGAGGGCACAGCCTAGATTCGGTGAGGCCGGGCTGGACCAGCGTCCCAGCGGGAGCGTTCAGTCACGGTAACGTTTAATTGATACACTGGCCACCTTCAATTGTGCCGTTGTCGTTATAAAAGTAGAGCTAGACCTCAGTTGTTTATTCATTAACTGATACTAAGATGACAGTTCCTTTATGAATGAGTTTTTGTTTATCTGTTTGTGTTTGTTTATTTAACAGATTCCTAATCTTCAAACTGTTGATCAAAAGACTGATCATGACCGATGCTGGTATTGCACCTTCTGGAACTTTGGGCTTAAGAAAACCCCCGGGGCCACGCCTCCCTGCCTGCCCTTTTCCTCCGCTTGCGTCCGTGTGGACTCCGAAAACACGTGACTTGACTCAAGAAAATGCGATTTTCCGAATCAGACTCAGCATTCAGCCTCTGAATGAAAAGAGAATCTTCCAAGAATATAAACAGTTACTTTGGTTTGCTTTTGGAAAAAGCAGAAGCATCCACCTGCTTCAGTTGGAAGGTGCTGAGTGCCCTTGTGAGGCCACCTCTGAGCAATGGACTCAAAAGCGCTTTCAGGCATGTGAGAGAAGGGAGGACTCTCGAGAATTGGCAAACAAAACCACTGCTGTCCTACTCCCTCGGGAATAGGGGGAGCAGGGGCCAAAGCCCTAAGTGGGGGCACAAACCCAAGAGATGATTGTATGAGGAGAACATGGAGGAACCGTTACACGTTCGGTACTAACCCATTTTCAGGGGATTGAAAGACTTGCTGGATCTCATGATGCTGACTGGTGTTAGCTGATAGGCACTTACGTAGAGGCAGGGGAGGGAGGCGAGGACTGACTTCTGGACTTCCTCTTGGATCCCCACCCCTCACACGTCACACTAGTGACCAGAATAGGGAGGCAGGGTTACACTGAAATTGTTGGTTTCACCCCAGACGGAGCCTGTGCAGATGTAGCAGGAAAGCAAGAACACCGACCATCTCAGCCCGCAGCGTGCCACCTGCCGCGGGAGGGGCAGCCACGCTTGTATTTTCATGGTTAGAAAGGCACAAAATTACTGACTTCACTAAAACATTCCTTTTCTCTCTTTCGTCCTGAGTATTGTGGAGTTTTCTAATTCTCTTTTGGACTGTAGTTTTTGGGGTTTTTTTACACTTTGCAATGTAAAATATTTATTTTTTACTTACTCTGGAGAACCTATCTGACAGACTTCATGGAACAGGAAGAAGCGTAAGGACTATCCACATCATCTTTGAGTCTTCATGACTGTAAGATTGTAAATACAGATTATTTATTAACTCTGTTCTACCTGGAACCTAGGTTTCGTACGGAAAGTGAGAGCAGGTAGTTGAGATTCGTCAGCAAATCTCACCAGAAGGGCACAAGGAAAATCAGCACAGCAGGCTGCCCTTCACTTTGTGCTTAAGTGATTGGGGATTTTTTCTCCGCCTTTCCCAGTGGAATGAGCTGGTTGTCCATTTGCAAGTGTTTAATCGGCACAGAAAGCCGCCATGCCTTTGATACTGTTGTACCCCGTCCCTTGTGCCTGTTCCAGGGAGAGAAAAGCATCTACGCTTGTTTGTTTTTCATTTTTCCAAAAGAAAAAAGTGACAAAGGTGAAACTTATATACAAATATTACCTCATTTGTTGTGTGACTGAGAAGAATTTTTGGCTCAAGCAGAAAGAGTTGAAGTGTCTAACAAACTGAAAGCTACTGTAGCACCTAAATGAGTCAACGCTGTACATAGTATAGAAACTCTGCAGACAGCCTTCCCAGTAAGGAAATAGCATTGAAATGTTAGATACATTTTCTGAAAGTTATTTTTTTCTATCATCTTGTATACCATTGCTTTATTTTTATAAATTATTTTCTCATTGCCATTGGAATAGATATCTCAGATTGTGTAGATATGCTATTTAAATAATTTATCAAGAAATACTGCCTGTAGAGTTAGTATTTCTATTTTTATAAAATGTTTGCACACTGAATTGAAGAGTTGTTGGTTTTTGTTTTGTTTTTTGATTTGGTTGCTTGCCCCCTCGCCCAGTTTTTACTATTTGCCGATACCTTTTTCTAGGAATGTGCTTTTTTGTACATTTTATCCATTTTCCATTCTAAAGCAGTGTAAGTTGTATATTACTGTTTCTTATGTACAAGGAAAAACAATAAATCATATGAAAATTTATATTTATACTTACTGTACACATGTTTATTTGTTCTCTACTGGCTTTATGTTGGGGGGTGCAGGTACATTCTATTCTTAAACAAGTATGGCATACATAAAAAAAAATTCCAGTTAATGGTGAACATTCATGGTTTCTATACAATTTTAAAAGACTGAGTTGCTTAGAATACACACTTGCTGGATTTGTGGAATAAAAACAAAACAAACTAGCCTGCCATATTAAAAATACAGAAAAAAGAAACAGCCCCCAATATGTGGGTCCCCAAAGTGTACAATTTCATATTTTTTATGGCATTTATTGAATCCTTTTCAAAATCTTTGTTAAAGAAAATTTAAAAACTAGGATTGAAGCATATCAATTTTGAACTACATTTTTAAAAATTCTTTTATTCATTTACAGTTGTCCCTTTTTCCTCCATTCTCCCTGCCCTGCCCGCCCCCCCCCCACATTCGATCCTTCCCCCACACCCTGTTGTCCCTGCCCATGGGTCCTTTATATGTGTTTCTTGACCCTGCCCCTTCTTTCCCTCATTATCCCCCTCTCCCCTCCCCTCTGGTCACTTGTCAGTTAGTTCTTTATGTCCATGTCTCTGGTTCTATTTTGCTTCCTTGTTTGTTTTATTGCTGAGGTTCCTCTTACAAGTGAGATCATACGGCATTTGCCTTTCACCACCTGGCTTATTTCACTCAGCATAATGCTCTCCAGTTCCAGCCATGGTACCACAAAGGGCAGGTGATCTTTCTTTCTGCTGCATAGTGTTCCACTGTGTAAATGTTCCAAAGTTTTTTGATCCATTCATTTACTGATGGGCACTTAGGTTGCTTCCAACACTTGGCTATTGTAAATTGTGTTGCTATGAACATTGGGGTGCACAGGTTCTTTTGAATTGGTGTTTCAGGGTTCTTAGGGAATAATCCCAGCAGTAAAATCACTGGGTCATAAGGCAGTTCCATGTTTAGTTTTCTGAGGAAACTCCGTACAGTTTCCCACTGTGGCTGCACCAGTCTGCATTCCCACCAGTGCACTGGGGTTCCCTCCTCCCACAACCTCGCCAGCACGTGTTGTTCGTTGACTGGTTAACAGTGGCCATTCTGACCGGTCACACCTGCATTTCCGACCCACGAACGATGGCACTGGATGAGCAACATATGTCATGTTGTGGAGAAGCCTTAAAATTAAGTGTCACGAGGAAGGAACTGTCCTTGAGAAATTAAGCCGACCTCTATGAAATATCACATTTTAGAGAACTAACATAACTTTCACCAAAAACAGATGACTCAAGACAAATCCTAAAAAATACCTATCCCTAGAAAGTACCGACTTTTTGTATGAAGAGGACAAAACACTGACAGGCAGACGTTCAGGTTTAAGCGGGCTGACCATGAATGTTCACTGACCGATTAACCTCGAGCTTTAATAAAAACAAGTAATGAACAATGAAAAGAAATAAAACAAGTAGAATAAGAATGTTGTAAGCAGTTAAAGGTCTGGCTCCGAGATCCATTACACACCAGACAGGACTGAGCAAGACGGAATCTTCCTTTGTTGTTTTCTCTTTCATTCTAAAAACGTCTGCCCAGGCTACATCACATGTGAGTACAAGTCGCCAAATCATTCTATGATACGTGGGTGAAAAATCATGAACTAGAGGTGCTAATAGTTATCGAGTTTGAAAAACTGATTTGAAAAGGTAATTCTTTGAAACATGGTATCATTCATTCTCAGAGTAGCTCAACAAGGGAAGTCTTGGGAGAGAATTCTGATTCACCGTTAAGGAGCAGACCAAAAGTAACGGAAAACGCCCAGGTGGGGCATAAAAGGGGGAAAAAGAGCTTGCTCCCCGGGCACACGTCATGTCATCACAAGACTGACCTTCAAGTCAGCAGCTGTATCAAAATAAAGAACTCAGTAAAAATTAAAATTATGACCTCAAGGTGCTGGCTCTTTCTTCCTGCAAGCGTTTGCTGTCACTCCCAGTCAGGGGGACAGAGCAGGTGAACGTGCACACCTTCTCCAAGAACCACATCAGGATTACCTCTGAATTACAGGACCACCACCCTTCAGCACTGCCCAACAGCTAGCTGCACCACTGTCTTATAAGGATGTAAAGAGGCTCCGTCAAGAGTGGCAGGGGAAGCAGAGACACAAAATGAGCTTGTCCCACACCCACTGGGGCAACTGAGAATCTGGAGGGAGGCCCCCACTGTGGAGGTTCCCCGTGAGGAGCAAGGGGTCCCAGCTCCACACAAGGTTACCCAGCCCAGGGCACCGGTGCTGGCAAGGGGAGTCTCCATGACATCTGCTGTGAGAATCAGCAGGGAATGCGTCCAAGTGAGAAGGAGGGCTGATGGAGTCCCAACTGGTCCTGGTAAAGGGTCCACACACAGGCTTGCCCACAAACTCACTTGCTCTGGGCACAGGGGTAGCAGCTAACAAGTGCCATGGACTTACAGAGAGGAAATAAAGTGAAGGATGGAGCGGCAGGAGTCAGGGCAGCCCTCTCTGGGGGCAGAAGTACCACAGATGCATGCCAAACCTGAGAGCTCCACTAACCTGGTTAACACTATCTGCCCTGCCTGGAAGTTCCCTGAGACCCCATCCCTCCCACATTTCATGACTGGCCCAAGCCTCTTCCAGCGGCTTTTTCACATAAGCATCCTGTCTCAACTCATACTATGGACTTGCCTAAAATCTCTCAAAGGTCCATAAACCCCAACCAAGCAGCATCTGGCCCTGGCATGCCCTGTACCTCTTGCTAAGCAGCTCTAAGCCCAGCACAAGTGGCAACCATTCTCAACTTGCACTGTAACTCCCATCAGGTGGCCCTAAGACTAGAATAAGCTGTGGCCAGTGCTGGCTTGGAACACAGCTTTCAACCAAGTGGCTACAAACCCACCAAAAGTGGCAGCTGACCTCAGCTCCCATTGTGGTGCCCACCACAGGGTGCCAGGCTCAGCACTAGTAGCAGCAAGCTTTGGTCCACAGCTTAGCCTCTCAGTGCATCCAAACCCAGGACAAGCAGCAAAGAACTGCAGATCACTCTGTAGCTCCCACCAGGTGGCTCCAAGCCAAACACAAATGACAACAGACCTTGGGCTGCTCTGGACACCTCCCCACCAGGCACAGAACCAACACACATATGACCGGCTTCAAACCACACCACAGAATCCCCAATCAGCTCACAAACGACACACTCAAAGGGCTGACGCAGCTGGCTCCAGAGCCCAGCTAAAGCAACTCCCACTCTACAGGGTCAGCCCCTAAAAAACAGCTTATCCACTGTCCTCACAGTGAGTCAGCCTGAGGGTCAACCCCACCCACTGACATGCCAACAGCCATCAAGGCTCAACTGTAACAAGAGAGCACATATAACCTACACAAGGACACTCCAGCTCAACTCAACAGTGGATTGGGCCACTGGACCTCACAGGACACCTCCTACATAAGGCCACCCTGCCAAGACTGGGAGACGTAGCAAATCTACTTAATACACATGAACAGACACAGGGAGGCAGCCAAATGAGGAAACAAAGAAACATGTCCTGGATGAAGGAAAAGGACAGAATTCCAGAAAAAAAATTAAACAAAATGGAGGCAAGCAATCTACCAGATTCAGAGTTCAAAATACTGGTTATAAGCATGCTCAATGAACTTAGGGAAAGAGCAGGTGAGCTCACTGATAACTTCAACAAAGAGGAAACATAAAAAAAGAGGATAGAAAACATTAAATCTGGCCAGGTAGCTCAGTTGGTTAGAGCTTCATTCCAATATTTCAAGGCTGTGGTTCAATACTGGTCAGGGAACATACAAGAATCAACTAGAGAATGCATAAATAATGGAACAACAAACTGATCTCGATCTCTCTCTCTCTCTCTCTCTCTCTCCCCTCGCCTCACTCCTTCCCTTTCTCTCTCTCTCCCTGCTCCTTTCTCTCTCCAAAATCAATAAATTTAAAAAACTGTTTGAAGACAACATTAAAAGAACCAGTCAGAATTGAAGAATACAATGACTGAAATGAAGAATATGCAAGATGGAATCAACAGTAGATTATATGAAGCATATGACTGAATCAGTATTTTGGAGACAAGGTAGTGGAAAATAATCAAAACAGCAAAACAAAGAAGAATTTTAAAAAATGAAAATAGTTGAAAGACCTCTGGAATAACATCAATGAGACCACCACTTGCATCACAGAGGTACCAGAAGAAGAGAGAGCACAAAGGATTGAAAACCTATTTGGAGAAATAATGACTAAAAACTTCCCTAAACATGGCAAAAGGAAATAGACACACAAGTACAGGAAGCAAAGAGAGCCCCAAACATTGTGACTGCTCTCCAAATTCTACTTCTGACTACTCCATGTTATGAATTTATTAATATTTCTCCTAATTATGCTATTCTGTATTTTTTCTCTGTTTTAGCATTTTTACTTGCTTCCTAATTATATATTTTAAAAGGACAGTTTCTTATTAAATTTAGTTATATAACATAAAAAATGAACATGATGGCATCGAGGTGACAGCTGTCCCCTGACAGAGTTCATTGTCATGGGTTCCAGAGGGAGCTGGGCTGACGGGCGCTGACCTGTAGGACCTGTGGGAATTTACAATAAAGGTGGTGCCGGTAGTCTTCTTGAGAAGTGATATGTCCAAAAACTTCAGATTTTAAAATACTAAAATCATTCCTGAAATGAATTAGCTTTTGTTCTTTACTTTTTCATCTCTATCTTGTTCTGGGGCAACATTTTTATTATAACAGGAAACTTAAAATAAAAACATTGATTTTCAATAAGAACACTTTCTCCCCCTAGCAAGTTAAATTTTTTTTAAGATTTTATTTATTTTTAGAGAGAGAGGAAGGGAGGGAGAAAGAGGGGGAGAGAAACTTCAATGTGTGGTAGCCTTTTGTGTGCCCCCTGCTGGGGACCTGGCCTGCAATCCAGGCATGTGCCCTGACTGGGAATCAAACCAATGACCCTTTGCTTGCAGTCCAGCACTCAATCCAC